TAAATTTAATAGCATGCCTCAGCTGGTGTGGAAATACTAGGACTTCTTTTCTGTGTCCAGGCAAGAACCTATCTTGAGATTTGAAATGTGCTTTATGTACGTATGTTTCTTGGTATCACCCCACATGGAACTCTCCTTTTATTATGAAAGTCATCAAAAAATTTGCAAGAATATGTCTGGTCCTGTGAACTAGAGAAAATTTTTCAAAAGGTAGGATTCTAGATGTTTCTTCTAGTCTACTTCTCTAGATATTGGATATTCCAGTTGAAAACTTAGAAAGCAGCTGTGGGCTATTTATTTTCCAAAAATACCCTTCTTTTTAAAGGAGTTTTGAGGTTCTTTGGAGATTCCACAAACCTGAAAGCCAGAGCCAATCTGTAATGACCTACAACCCCCAGAAAACAATTGTTTACTTTAGCTTTCCTCTGTCCCTGAAGAGACAAACGTGGACTCTAATTTGACATAAGCGTCCATCATGGCTATCAGTTCCAGGAACAGATTTAAAAAGTGGTGAGGAGTGTCATTCAGTGTTAACATTTGCAATTGCTATACTTTTTATAGGTGTAAGTACTTTTGTTTTTATAATTTATTTTGCTATATTCGTTGCAGTATGTCTGGCTTAAGTCAAGATCCTCCACTCAGATAAAATGTCTACAGACTTTTCTTTCTTTGTTAGGTCCCTTTTCATTTGAGCTGTCAGATGGTGGGGCATAGATGCCCACCACGGAAAGGGTGACTTTGAAAAAATATTTCTACCTCTTCCGAGGACAATGAAATAATAAAGTTGTATGCATGTCTGTGGGCAGATGTGTGTGTGGGGGCGGGGAGCTAGGAGGAGGAAGGAAGTTGGAAAAAGAACACTTAAACTCCATCCTGGTCAAGGTCTCCAGGTCGACAGGTTGAGCATCCATAATCCAAAAATTTGAAATCTGAAATCCACAAAAATCCAAAATTTTTTGAACACCAACATGACTCTCAAACGAAATACTCACTGAAACATTTTGGAATTTAGATTTTTAAATTAAAAATGCTCAACCAGTAAGTACAATGCAGATATTCCAAACACTGAAAAAATCTGAAGTGCGAAACACTTCTGGTCCCAGCATTCAGGTAAGGGACACTCAACCCGCAGTGTAATGCACAGGGGTAGGGCAGGAATGCCTTTCCTCTGGTCAGTGCAGAGCACATTGCTCTGCTCTCACAGCAGAGCAGTTAGACAGCCTTCTCAGAGGGTCAGCTGATAACTGATCTAGAGTGGCTGTAAGATTGGGGAAGCTCACTTTTGGATGTTTCTCCCCTTCACCTCCGCAGGGGGATATTTAGACATTGCATGGGCTCTTTCCTTTTGTGTGTGTATATGTTCCCATTGGTGGTGTGACCTTATAATTTGCATATCTTTTAGTAGAACTTTTTTAAATGTTTATTTCTTTTTCCCATAGGAAGCCAGGAGTGCTGTCATTTTGCACCTGTTTTGGGGATCAGACATGTTGGAAATAGACATTCTTAAAACATTTTAATAAATCTGGAAAAAAGTAAAAGGCTGTCCTGTTTTTTTTGTTCATTTGTTTGTTTTTACCATGATGGGAATAAAAGGAGTTGAGCTTGCAGCAGGTAATGGATTTAGTCTTTAGACTTGATCCATAGGAGCTAAACTGGCTAAAAGAACCATTTTTTTCTTCAATAAACCATTTGTTGGGTTAACTGTTAGGTATACAGGTGCAAATCACAGTAGGTAACTGACTTAAAAGAATTTAGAGCTCACCAGCAGAGATGTGGAGAATTAATGTGTAATTACTGATTACAGACAGTAATGACAGTTACTACACAGTGTGATGAGTTATTTTTCCCAGATCCTAGAATTTACTAAGACAAAGCCATGAGCAGAACCTATATGTTTCTACCCTTTGGTAAGGTATTTGAGCAATTCAAAGTAAATTTTGATTTTTACCCTAGATCCCTAGTAGTGCACAGTCCCATTGAGAAGGTAAGATAGTCAAGTAACATGAAACAAATAGCAGACAGTGCATGACACTGTGAATAAATGCTAAGGTGTGTTCTATGCAAAGTAATGGCCCTGTGTTGTGCAGGAAAAATTTAGGAAGGACTGGAAGAACCACACTTTCATTTACTCATATGAGCCTTTTCTAATCCTTATCTCATTAACACTGAAGGTGAACTTCTAACCTTTCGAAAACCTTCAAAGTTGAACATGTCATGGCCCCCATTCTCCCCTCTTCCACTTACTGTTCTTCTATCTTTTTTGTACAGTCATACATTTATTCGAATACATAACGATACTGATTCCATGATAAGTCATGTTCAGAGGATATCAAAAAGCAGAGATGAACAACCACTCTCAGTAAATATTAAATGTTAAGAATATTAAGGTCGGCCGGGTGCGGTGGCTCACGCCTGTAATCCTAGCACTCTGGGAGGCCAAGGCAGGAGGATTGCTTGAGGTCAGGAGTTCAAGACCAGCCTGAGCAAGAGCAAGACCCCGTCTCTACTAAAAATAGAAAGAAATTAGCCAAACAACTAAAAATAGAAAAAATTAGCTGGGCACGGTGGCGCGTGCCTGTAGTCCCAGCTGCCCGGGAGGCTGAGGCAGGAGGATTTCTTGAGCCCAGGACTTTCAGGTTGCTGTGAGCTAGGCTGATGCCACAGCACTCTAGCCCAGGCAAGAGAGTGAGACTCTGTCTCAGAAAAACAAAACAAAACAAAACAAAAAAAACAAACAAAAAAAGAATATTAAGGTCATCTTAGACAGTTAAATAAAAGCATGCTAGGGGAGTAGATAGAAGGGTTCTGTCAGAACTATGTCTAATTAACGATTAAGGTAACAGGGAGCTAGGGAGGGGAAGTCACCACATAAACAGAAAAAACAGCATATTTGTTTAATTCTTATCTGGAAATGAAAGGAGATTTGTTAGATTTAACTCTTTCAGGATTTGATTTTTTAGGTGAGCAGAGGTAGAGATACCCAGATATCAAAATGAGCAGAGAAGGAAGGATAGAAGAAGGTGTCGGGGCCATGGAGAAAGAAAGGGAAAAGGAGGAAAACCCCCAGTCTGAGGTGCCAACCTAAGAACAGTGTTTTGTCATTTCCATTTTTTTTTGTTTTCTTCCCAAATGAAGAAACTAGAGTTCAGGACTAGGAAGTGGATATCCTGATCACAGGGGACTTCCCAACAATGAACAAGTTCTGAGCAGCAGTTTCACAATCTATGACGAGATGTCCCCGCCCCATGCAGTACGGAAAGACCAGTTACTTTCAATTTTGAATCTGAGGCTTTTTTCCTCAGTTACTTTCAGTTTGAGTCTGAGGCTTTTTTCAGTGCTATACAAAAGGACTGAGGCTGTTCCCCATGGCTGGTGAGTCGGGGTCCTTTTCTGACTATAAGCTAAGGATCTAGGTATTAAAAAAATTTATTTATTGCTGTGTGACATGCAGAAATAACAAAAGGGAGGTGAGCCAATAGTGTGCAAGTTGAATCTTTCTCTTGTTGGTTGTGCAACTTGAATCTCAGGATCTGGTGTTGGAGACACCAAAGGAGAGTGTGGTCGCCAGATGTCCTCAAGCCAGAAAGAAGGTAATTAAATCCTTTCTTCCAGCTCCTGGGAATCAAAGGCAGGGAAAAGACAGGCAGAATAAGTTATTTGTGTGAGAGACAACTCTGGAAGTTTCTAAACAGACTCTCCAATCCTCTCTGCTTCCTCTTGATTCCAAAGTTGTCATCCATCATAAACCTTCTTGCCAGAAGCAGATCTGAGAGCCTTTGAGTTCTGGCCCCTTTGCCATTCCTTATATTGGAGGACATTCTTCGTCTGTGTAAAGTGATTCCACTTACCCCTTTCTCTCTAGGTCTGGTACTAGCCTCTCTAACACAATATTCCTTGGGTTGCAATCACTCTTTTTTAACTGGCCTCCATGTGCAGGTCGCTCTCCAATGCATCCTGCACACTCCTTCCAGATCACCTGTTTTACAGACAGAAGTTGATAAGGTGTGAGAGATTGAGTCCTTAGCTATTCAGGCAGCTAGAATTCTAACATGTCATATGACTTCTTTGGATCCAGTCTCACTTGAAAAGTAAGAGGTTGGACTATACGACAGGTTTCTAAGCCATATTACATATATGAATCATCTATAGTCATATAAAAAATCAAATTACTGTCCCCTCCCTGACCTAGAATTGCTTAATCTTGAATAGACTGCAGGCATTTATAATCTTTTAAAAATCTGAAGATAATTCTTATGTAGCTGGCATAAGTTCATGGATTTGTCTACAGATTAGAATTAGTAAGAAAGTTGATCAGTTAGTTAACTCTCAGTTCTCACATTAGGTATTTATTACTGTAATTTTCTTACTCAGGAACATAAAATGGCTCCCTGTTGCTTTTTTAAAACTCTCTGAATTTTCCAGACAGGTTTTATACTGTTCAACATACATTTATCCATTTTTCCATTAATTCTTCTAAAGTATGATTTATGCTTCATAAAAATGCAGATATTTGCTATATTTACCTCACTGATACTTTCTTGTTATTGTGTTTCTTTATTCTTTTGATTCTCACTGTGGTATAAATCTTTTCAGAGTTTATGTCTCACCTCACAGCATTTAACTTAAGCTCCTAAAATTCAGGGATTGTTTGTTTTCTTTTCTTGTCAACTTTGTGATTCTAGTGAAGCGTTTGACTGGGGTTGGAAGTTAAATGAATACTCGTGGCTACCTCTTTGGCTAGACAGGCCCATTTTACTGGCTGTTCGATTGAAAACAAAGGATCATCAGATAACAGATGTGAGAAATTGGAAGGTACTAGACAAAAAAAACTTGTCTCTACTAAAAATAGAAAGAAATTATTTGGACAACTAAAAATCTATAGAGAAAAAAAGTTAGCCAGGCATGGTGGCGCAACTACTCCCAACTACTTGGGAGGCTGAGGCAGTAGGATTGCTTGAGCCCAGGAGTTTGAGGTTGCTGTGAGCTAGGCTGACGCCACGCCACTCCACTCCAGACAACAGAGTGAGACTTCATCTCAAAAAAAAAAAAAAAAAAAGTAAAGTGGTTCAATAATTATAAACAATTGAGTGTAGTTGGCTATTGTTAACTAAAGCACAGGAGAAATAGTATCCTATTAGAGCATTACATCAATTTGTCTGGGACCAAAACTGTGGTCTTAAGGAGTTTTGTCCTCCAAAGTATTCTCTCTATTTTTATTATCACTGAAACTCCAATCCAGTGATTATTATGGTGACAACAAATAATCCCTAACAACTTTTTTTATGCCCCTACCACATGACACCTATTTCATGTACTGTCTCTGAATATTGAAAACTACTCATTTAAGTTTATGCTATTATTGCTATTTTATAATTGAAGAAGATACTTAGTCAAGGAGTCAAATATTATATAATTTGCCTTGGGTCAAATATCTACCTAGAGGAGTGGTTCCAGGTTAGCCCTACTCTCAAGATCCTTTCATTACTCCAATTTTCTGCAAAAAATCTTCATATCGCTGCCCTGTCTCTGATCACTCCCAACAGTAGTATTCTGCTTATAGTAGTATTCTTTCTAAAGCTCCAGTCTCCCAGCTTCCTGTTTACATCAGATACCCTGGAGGCTTTGTGACTCTGTTCACATTGTTGTCTGCCAGGAAATCATGCCCAGCTTCCCCAGGGGACAGGCTCAGTCCAGTTCTGGTCTCAGTTCCAAGTCTTCCCTCCTCTGGGAAGCCATCCTCCACCTGAGGCATGCTTCCTTGTGCTTTTCTTGTACAGATGCCCATTATTTAAGTTATTATAGTGGTTTGTATTTCAATTATTTGCATATATGTGTTTCCACTTGACTGAAAGTGTTGATGTCTAGGAATATCTTTATAGAGTGGTATCCTCCCACAATAGCAGAATATCTTTCACAAACAGTTGCTCATTAAATATTACTGAATGAATCTGGGAGTGAACACACCCTCCCTCTGCTTGAGAACTCCCAATGTGCACTTATGGCCTATTAAAGAAAATCAATCTATGTCAATGGAAAAGCAGTCAAACTCTGTAAAATAATTTTAACAGGTTTATTCTGAGTCATATTTGAGGACCATGACCTGGAGCCACACCCAAGAAGCCTTGAGCAGCTGGACTCACTGTGGCTGAGTTACAGTTTGGTTTTATACATTTCAGGGAGACAGAGATTACAGGTAAAGTCATAAATCAATACATGGAAGGCTACATTGGTTTAGCCCAAAAAGGTGGGCCATCTCGAAGAAGGAGCTTACAGGTTATAGGCGGGTTTAAAGATTCTTTGATTTGTAATTTGTTAAAGACATGAAGCTTTGTCTAAAGGCTTAGAATATTAAGATTAGGAAGTCTGATAATCAAAGACAAGAAACTAGACATATATTTGTTGTATACATTCAGGGCCTGCAGGTTTGTCTTGCATAGCTTTAGGCCGATCAATGAATTACAAAGGATGTCTCCAAGAAGAGAGGGGAGAATGATGAGGCATGTCTGACCTCCCTTCTCCTGGCAAGCAATTTAATTTTAGGATATCCCCTTGGCCAGGAGGGGAGTCCATTCAGTTAGCTGGTGGGAGAGAAGCCTTAAGATTTTATTTTATTTCATACTTACTTAGCTTGCTATTAAGTATTCTTCAAGAGTTGGTCCACACCTAAATTTTATCCATTTGTTCTTATGATCATTTGATTAATGATTTGGCGGATAATTATTGAACACTCCCTGAATGCCAGGAGTAGTGCAGGCCTAGTTCATGGGCCGTTGGTCCCACAGAGCACAGAATCTAATGGTGGATGCTGATAAGTAGGCTGAGAATCACAATTACATGGATTAAAATGCTGGCCTAGGGAGAAACACGGAGGCCTAGAAGCACAGACCTCTGACATTCTAGCCTAGGAGTGTCAGGGAAGATTCCCTGATGAAAGTGCCATCTAAACTGAGACTCGAGGATAAACACAGAACAGTGGGAGGACAGGAGGCAATGAGGGTTGGGGGACTGGTAACATAAAGATCCCTAAGTAGGAGCTTTCTAGGAACTGAAGGAAGAGCATAATGATTAAAATGTAATGAACAAGGTGGGGACAGTATCTGAAGATGAGGCTGAATGAGAAGCCCTAAGTCAGATTAAGATGAGAGGTTCCATGATCAAATCTGGATTTCAGAACACTCACTCTGCTTCATTGTGAAGAAGAAATTAGTAGGGAGCAAGAGTAGATTTATTAGGTTTTTAGTGTAATCAGAAAAGGAAAGATGTTGGCCTGAATAGAAGTAATAAACAAGCAGAATTGAGAAAAGTGGTTCGATTTTGTAAATATTTAGGAAATAAAATCAATACATTTTGAATTGAGATGGAAAATATGACATAAAAAATGCAAAAGAGGTTTAATGTCACCAGGTTTTGCTACTTTCTTGTACTTGGAGGTTAGATATTATTTACTAGTATGTGGAGGGGGGAATAAAGGAAGGCTATAAAAAATTATCAGTTCTGCTTGCAAAGCTGATGTCAATCAGTTTGTGGGATATGGAGAAGAGATGTCTCGTTGTTGGACGTAGGGATGTTAATACTGTGATTCATGTCTGGGTTAAATCTATAAATTTGAGAGTCATTTATTTATTATTTAATCTTATAATTAATGCCATGAGAATGAATAGATTGTGAAAAGAGGATCTCATGCCAAATCTCTTTAGTTGGCTTTTTATTATAATTTATTTGTTTTTAATTGACAAATAAAGTTGTATATATTCATCATGTACAATATGGTGTTTTAAAATATGTATACAGTTTAACTGTTTTAGATTCTACATATAATTGAGATCACGTGATATTGTCTTTTGGTGCCTTTCCCAGCTTATTTCACTTAACATAATGTCCTCCAGGTTTATCCACAGTCTCACAAATGACAGGATTCTTTTCTTTTTTAAAACTGAATAGTGTTTCATGGTGTATATAAATCACATTTTCTTTATCCATTCTTCCATCCACAGACACTCAGGTTAATTCCATATCTTGGCTGCTAAGAATATTGTTGCAATGAAAATGGAAGTGCAGATATCTCTTTAACATACTGATTCAATTTCCTTTGGATCTATGCCCAATAGTGGGATTGATGGATCATTGATAGGTGCTGTTTGCAAATATTTAAACTTTCTGTTCCAACATTTGTATGTGTATTTTAAGATCAGTGTTTTTGCCACCTCTTCCAAAATACATTTGTGATCTCACCTGCTGGAATTTACTCATCTTTTTGGGGTCGCTTAAGCATATTTTTTGTATTCTCTTAAGTAACTTCATCAAGTGTCATGTAATTCGATTTGATAATTTAAGAGTGGGGACTCAGGATTCTGAACCCCTGAATTTTAATCCATAAGAAGCCGAATTTCTTATTGATTGTCTTGACATGTATTCTTTAAAAAATGTCATTTTTTGTAAAAATTACCTTACATCTAGATGGACTGGATAACTATCTTTATAGAGTTAATTGAGAATTGAGGACCTATCCAGCCTTTCCATATACACCCTGCCCAAATCATATTTGTTGTATTATTGTGACATCTCCATTTCCCTATAAAATATTCCAGTTATCCCAAAGAGGAACACATTAACCCAATGTCAAACCAATATACTATACTAGAAGATCAGTCATCAATTCTAAATTTTGATTGAAAATAAGATCTTAATGATTTAGATCTCTAGATGAATTCATCCATTTATTCATCAACTCATATATTTAAAAAGCATATTAAATGCCTTAAAGTACATATTGAGTACAAAGATGTGCCTATAGGATATGTGTAAAAAATGCAAATTTGAACACATAGTGCTTTCAGTAAGGAAACCAAATAGAGAGAAAAGGAAAGGCCCTGCAGTCTAGCAGGAGGAATTTACAGTGGAGACGAGAACATGGATTTTCATAGGAACACACATTCCAGGTAAATCCTCATCATCATAGTCTGTGAGCAAGAGAAAGAGAAATATGAACACAATGAATGTCCGGGAAGTTAGTGCCAGGCCCAATGCCACAGGAAAAAGATGAGAAGCTATCAAAAACCTTAAGTGGGAATGAATTGTTAAACACAGCCTGGTATGAATTTTGTCGGGTAAGAGAACCCTACAGGTACAACAGAAAAGGTGTGTAATTTGTTGGGGAGATGGTGACACGAGTGTATTCTCAGGGGTCTTTCCCATTACAGAGAGCTATATCTAAAGTGTGGGCTAAACTCTATAGGTTGTGCCCACAGTTGAAGGAGTCTTTTATTTCTGACAGAGGACAACGACAAAAAGAAAAATCCACTTAAGATGTTGGAAGCCCTGAGCAAAGATGTCATCAATGAATTTCTCGATAGCGTGATGGAAAAAAATGTGCTGAAAGTAAAGGAAGAAGACAAGCAAAAATATCATGGTGCCAAAACACAAGACAAGGCCCGGGTTTTGGTATCCTCTCTCCGAGACAAACAAGAGGAGGCCGTCCGATTACTTCTGGAAACCTGCCTTCACCTGGAAGGAAAGCCCAGCAATACAGAAGGTAAGAATTTATCTGTATAGTAAACATCTCAAATTTCCCAGATTCTATTCAACTCCAAGCACAGGCAGCATCCTCTGTGATCCTCCATCCTTCCTTTACTAAAGTGCCATTTTCACTAAACCTATCATTGTCCTTTCAGAGGCCACCTTGTCTTTTATGGAGTGGGATCCAGTTTCCAATTAGATAAAATGCTGATTCCTTGTTTATAATCTGTTCATAGAAATAGTTAATAGTAGAGACTTTGTAGTAAGGGATACCTAAACCTAAACCTAAATTCTGTCACCTGTGAATGATGTGACTTTGCCCAAGTTCCTTAACCTTCCTAGCTCCCTAGGTATTAGTCTTACCATCTGTGAAATGAGAACAACTAAAGTACTTCCTCACAAAACTATGTAAGGCTAGGAACATAGTAATGCCAGGCATATGCTAACAACTCCCAAGATATCAACTTTCATCCAGAAAGCATTCATCCAAGCTCCAGACTTATTTAGCTTTAGCTGCATATCAATATTTCTGCTTGAATGTTCCACTGGCTTTATAAAACTAACGTATGTTCCCCTGACTAAGTCTGTTCCACTTTTATCCCCTTTCTATCTCAGTAAACAGAACTAACATCTACCAATTATCTCCCACTAGAATGTAACTGGTTTTTCTAACAGTGAATAACAGTAATTAGTAGAGTGCCTGGCACACAGCAGATAGCTAATGAATACAGGATAAATAAATAAATGAAAGATATGCATGCAATAAATATTAGTTATTGCACTTATTATGTGGGTGTTAAGATTTAGAGTTTTCCAGTGCTTACTTATTTCTATGAGTTATAAAAATATGATCAGGAGAACTCCTATAAAATGTATAAAATTTTCTAACTTTTCAAAACTTTTGACCCAGATTGAATTATGAGCATTATTAGAGCCTACATGTTCTCAAATCCAAGTGTACCAGTGACAGACTGAATTAGCCATACAATTTAAGCTGAAATCTTCAGCCCTCCAATACTAGTGTTTACCAATAATGATAAATGATAATGGTTAAAAGGAAACATAAATTGTTGCAATGTTACTATATCAAATGATCCTTTTCAATAAGCCTTCTCTAGTGAAAGGCTTACACCACTAGGAAGTAAATACTAGTATGATAGTTGTCCAAGATTGTAACCTAGGCTGCATTCTTATTAATATTTCAATTGGTCCTTTTATAGGTGTTTGCTTTTTCTCAAACCCGGGATGACATAGGAACAATCTCGATTTTATAAAATCAGAGATGATGCAGCAAATGGAATTAGAATTGAAGTAATAAAGGCTTCAAAATTATTTTAGCAGCCCCAGAAGTCACAATGAGCATTAAACTCTAAGCAGAAATAAGCTATCTGACCAGCAGAGGCTGTGGCAGGAAGCAGGCAGATGTAGACTCTCTCAGGAGGGATCTGGTGGCTTCCTGGGCTCTATCTGTACTCGAAGTCTCTAGAGTGATCCTAGGACACTTTAGGTGAACTGGCCCAGTGAGCCAGGAAGCCGTGTGGGCTGGGCTATTAGAATATGTAAAGGTCCTGGCCAGGCCAAGGGTATAATTCTGAGGTTTTCCAGCATAGTATGGGACTAGGGACTGCGGGATAGGAAGGATACAAGTATTTGTTTTATTTAACCAACTCTTATTTATACATACATACTGTGTGCCAAGCACTGCTATTTAGTCCAAGAGATAACCACTTGAATCCCAAACTGCCAAGGAAAAAGCTTTGTCTTACCTTGTACTAGTCTCTTCCCTTTTGTGTCAATTTAAAGGGATTCCTGAGCATTTTCATTGGGTAACAGATAAGACTCAGAAATTAAAATTTTTATGTTAACTTCTAATTTCTTCATTTCTTTTTGTTGCATTGCCAGGCTAATAAGAACTCTCTTTGGGCAGTGGACTGCATTATACTAGCTACTATTTTATAATGAAGTAATCTGTTTTCATGCTAATGTTACTGTTAGATATAAGGTAGAAAGTCTGTCTAATTCCTCATTTTACCTGAAAATACTGTATCTATACATAGGCACATAATGGTCCTTAGGAGATAACCGCTATGTTAAAAAGTTCTCCAAACCTGTAAATAAACAGGAAACTATGGATGAGAAACCATATGCTATGATCAGGAAATATTCTAGCACCCTGGATGCCTTCCTGTTGTCAGAATTTCCCAGAAGGGGGAAATGGGCATGAATCACTGTTTAATCTATGAAAAAAATTGCTCAGAAAGTCTGGTATCCTTACGCACTCTTACAACTTGCTCTATCTCTAGAGTTAACACATTATCGCACTTTTTAGAAAGATATTTATTTAAAAACATTATTTAAAAACTAATGAAAACAGATAACTGAAATAGAAAAAGACATTATTAAATATAAAAACTGAAAATTTCACACAATATAACATTACTTTTCTCATTTAAATAAATTAACCAGAGAATGTCTTGGTTGGCTTATATCACTGAACAGAAATAACAGGACTGTCCATTCCTTTCATGGCAACAAGCATCATTATTTAGACTTTGGCAAACTTCTAATTCTTGTTTCTGAATTCCTTCTTTTTTCTCCTTCAAGGGAGGGCTCTGGAATTTCCTAGCCTCTTGCGCAATCTCAATCAAATGAGGTCAAGCAATGTCAGATAATATTACATTTCTCTAGGGGATTAATCAGAATGATTCAGAAACAAACATCTCCAAAACACATGTATTATTTCCTTGCATTATAAAGCATTGGTTGAAAAAGTTGGTGTTGGTCATTCAGCACTTTGGAGGCAAGATATTCAGAGTGATTTCAGAATTTCTCAAAAAAATCATCACACCAATCCTGGACACAGCACTTTTTGTTACTAGACAACATTTCTCCTTTAAATAGCTGACATTACAATTTGGTGAGGGATAATTGAAGCCCATTTCCTCTAGAAAGGTGAAAAATTCAGGTTATACTTCTGAAAAAATAATACCTGGATGGTATAGGATTCAAGATTCTGTTAAATGTCTGTATCTGTATGTGTTGCATGGGTTAGAAGGGAACTGTCACTCCAAATTCGCTTATTGTACTATCCAGTATTATAGCCACTAGCCACATATGGCTATTAAGAACTTGAATTGTGGCTAGTTACACACATGGAAGTGACAATATTTTGGATGTATTATGTTAAATAAAATATATTATTAAAATTAATACCACCTGTTTATTTTTACTTCTTTAATGTCAATATTATAAAATTAATTATTGCATGTGGAATTCACATTATATCTCTAATAGATAGCACTCTGATAAATATTTACTCAGTATACTCTTGCTCAGAAACAATGGAAAGTCCACATGGATGGGTGAGTGTCCTAGATTAGTACCATTGGAAAAGTCAAACTGTTTGACTTTTGGGGCCAGATTTGACCCCAAGTTATCAAGGTATTTTCCCCAGAATTATGAGAAACTATTATTGCATTTCTGGGTGGATCTGCTTTCTCTACCTGAGACACCTCTTTTCTTTCCCAGTAACAAATACATCTCCTTACATAAGAAGTTAGATATAACTATAGCCCCTATGTGCAAAAAAGTCTTCTTCCCAGGAATTCTCTCTTTCTCAAACTTCTGAGGTGATAAATTGGGTCACCAAGGCAGAAATCACAATAAATATATGTGATATATCCTGCAGCATCTCCGGCAATCAAGGCTGAACCAGCTGAGTCAGCAGAACCTACAGATACCCTCAAGCTTTGCCCTTATGAAGACTTCCTGAGACTGAGTAAAGAACGGGCTGAAGAGGTGAGGTGCTCTATGCATGAAATAGTGAAGAGAGAAGCAATTGCTTTCATTAAATGCATGATTTCTTAAAGCATTAAGTAACTGAGGGTGAAGATTATGGTAATATTTTTCATAGATGCTTCCAGCAAAGAGGAGATCATGGAGTTCTAGGCAGATTCCAATTCTCTTTAAACGCCGTGATAAAATGCAAACATCTTTTGTTCTTCATTTCTTTGTTCATATATGTATTTAGGATTTATGACAATTTCAACTGTAGCCATAGAATCAAAATATTCATAAGATAACATGGCTGAATAGTAGCTGTTTATATCTAGTTGAAAGGCCTAGACATGAAGCATATTTTAAAAATATAATAAGGCATGAAAATTATTGAATTGGTATGTTAAAAATAGTGTCAAAAAATATTTCTACCAAAGGCAAATAATCTTTAGTATATTCATTATTACTGGAGCCAATGACAAATGTTTCTTCATTTTTATGAAATTTGATCTGAAACATGAACACTAAGAAAGATTGCTCAGGTGGAGAAGAAAGGGGAGAAGGACGGGTAGGAATTATTCTACTTACAGTTTGTCAAGAGTCTTCTTTTACCCTTCCAAATATATCCTGGTCCTTACTCTGGGCTCTTGAGACAGAAGAAGACAGGATCTTCTGGTAGAGGTTGGGGGAGAGGGTAGCTGTACGAGGCTTTAATAAAGCAACACTGCTGGGTGTATGGGGTTTCAAAATAGACTTGGGCATAATCAAATTTGCTGCATATCCATCTCCTGCAGATCTATCCCATAAAGGAGAAAAACGATCGCACTCGCCTGGCTCTCATCATATGCAATACAGAGTTTGACCATCTTGCGCCGAGGAATGGGGCTGACCATGACATCGTGGGGATGAAGGGGCTGCTTGAGGGCCTGGGCTACAGTGTGGATGTAAAAGAGAAACTCACAGCCAGGGTAAGGGCCCCTCACCCACCCCAGACTCACACATATTCAACACACATCCTTCCACTAACTAGTCAGCTTTAGAAAACCTCAAATGCTTTAACATCTTCAGTATTTGTGTGTGTGTTGGCAAAATGAAGGTATTATCTATGCCTCTTTTGAGCTCCAACCATCCCACGAAACTGGATAAAATGTGATTGGCGTGTGTTTTCACAATTCTTGTTGAGTTCCAAAGTGAGGTGATTAGGAGTCAGCCCCAAGATTCCCCAGACAACTCGAGTGGTGACTGTTAAGCAGAAGTGCACTCATAAAACAAACAGTGAGTCCTGAACTCGGTGTCAGGAGCTTTTCCTGCCACCTGGGATGGGCCTTTCGGTGAGACGGGAAGTTCCCAGCTCACATTGATCTAGGTTAGAGTGCAGAGGGACAATCAAAATATTGTCAAAGCAAATTGACAATTTCAGAGATTGTGTGTGTGCGTGTGTCTACGCAAGTTTGATAAGAAAGTCAAAATAAAGGCCGGTGTGGTGGCTCACGCATGTAATCCTAGCACTCTGGGAGGCCAAGGTGGGAGGATTGCTTGAGCTCAGGAGTTTGAGACCAGCCTGAGCATGAGTGAGACCCCATCTCTACTAAAAATAGAAAAAATTAGCCAGGCGTCATGGTGCATGCCTGTAGTCCCAGCTACTCAGGAGGCTGAGGCAGGAGGATTGCTTGATCCCAGAGGTTTGAGGCCACTGTGAGCTAGGCTGATACCATAGCACTCTAGACCAGACAACAGAGTGAGACTCTGTCTCACAAAAAAAAAAAGAAAGAAAAAGAAAAGTCAAAATAAGTGAACAGAAAAGGAAAAAGGAAATAAGAGAGAACTGATATTGGGGGGCACCTTTGATGAGGTGGTCCAGCAAAGGCTCTGTGAGGAGATCCCGTGGGAGCTGAGTC